CACACACACACACACACACACACACACACACACACACACACACACACTTACAGTATTAACTGAATGAATACAGCCTCCTTGTGTTTTTTCTACCCTGATTTACTGAAAACGTTAGAGTACACATTGTTTGGCCTAATGAGGCTCAGTGACGTTAACCACTCATTGAGTGACTTTAGTTTAGCACACCTTCACTCCTAATCCACTTTGAGAGGATTGACTACATGGTGGGGTTAAGGGCTAAAACAATAACCTGGTCGGGCCACAGACAGGTGGTAGTGGGAGAGGATGAGCATAATCGGAGTGTTAGCTCTTAAATCAGCAGGTCTGCATCTGCTCTTCAGTCACAAATGGCAGACTGTAATCCTGTTTTGCCGACTCTTTTCTCAGCTGGTAAGCACCTCTGACCGATCCATGCAATAATTAACAGTAAAGAAATTATGAAACAAAAGCATGTGATTGAAATATTGTCAGTTGTATGACCAGGAAGCAGGTCGGGGACTCCCAAACCCTTAAATGTTAGAAACCAGAGGTCCCATAAATGTCTGATGAATTTACTCTGATGAGTTTTGAAAATTGTAACACAGTTTAGTAAAACATTGATAAATAACGGTTACTCATACATTTTCCTGGTGACCCATTCTGCCCTTTTCAACAAGTCATGGTGCATATATTTCATAGTCAAATACAAACATATATCTAAGACAGGGAAATCAATTTTATGACAGAATGGTCAAGTGAGGAGGAGCCACCATTGTTGTTTTTATTTTGAGTGTGTGTCTCAATTTAAAGGAGAGTGAGGAGCTGCTACATGGAACAAAAAGAGACCTGGGCTGGGCGAGGGCTCTCTCTCTCTCTCTCTCTTTCTCTCTCTCTCTCTCTAGAGACCCTCGCTTCTTATTGATCCTCACACACTTCCTGCCGGAAGGATGAATCAACGGAAGCTTTGATGGGGGGGGGGCCTCTACAACCTCCTGGTCATCCACAGACCAGTCACTGTCTCTCCCACATCACCTCAGCTTTTTAATCCTTCATCTCCACGTCTAAACCCCCGTCGATCAGCCATCGACTTATCACATTGTTCCCTCTTAATTCCTCCCTGCCCACCCCTAAAGGTCACCGTGTTCAGTCTATTTTTCCTCTGTGCGGACACACAGTTCGATGGCAGAGCAGGAACCCCATAACGTAACACTGCACACAAAGAGCACGGCCTCCTCGGGTGGGCGTCATCGATCAGGAGTTCAAATATATACCTGATTTAGACTTTAGAGAGGTGAGACAGCCTGAAAGACAAAGGAGAGAAAAAAAGAGATGCTTTTGAGCCGATTTCCTGTGAAAGCATCTGAAGTGGTTGAGATGGAGATTGGCCTCCGGAGGCTGCTTGAGGATCAATGTGTCAGCAGGCTTTAATAAGAAACTGCCCCTCACTGTCTCCTGAACAGGAAAACACACTATTGAAGGACACAGAAAACTTAGCTTTGCCTCTGAAGATGCCATTATATTCAACAAAAGAGACAATGATACAGCATTTGTAGAAATGTGTGAATGTTCAGTCTGCACGCATGAATTGATGGTTGGAAGCTTTTAAATGCTGTAACCTGAAGCATCATGGAAAACATGAAGCAGAGACATGTGAAAAGAGGAACAAAACAACATGTTCCTGACAGGAGATACTGTTTCCATGATGCATAAGGGATCCGTCACCACCTTTTTGATAAAACATCCATCTTTTGGAAATGGGTCTGAGCGTGGATTCAGACCAAAATGAAAAAAAGAATCTTTAGTTATTTTAACGCAGAGCTGTTTTGTTACAGTAGAAATACTTTATTCACGTTACAAAGTAATCTACTGAGCTCGTGCGCTTGCATGTTTGTTAATGGCATCGCATTGCAGCAAAGACCGAGTCTGGTTTAACTTTTATGTCGACTCACCCTTTGCTAAAAAACCAAAAACATTTCTTTCGGGGGCCCTGATATACAGCCTGGACTCCTAAAAATTACTTTCCCAGAAAACGAAACTGCATTGTCAATTAAGCTTCAAGGGAATCACAAATACGTTCTCATCAAAGTCTAAGAAAAGCCCCTGCAGGAAGGAGATTGGGGTGGATGGGGCAAACAAACACAGGACATTCACACAGGGGGCCTATGTTCATGTCCTGTGTTAAATGGAAAGTCAACATCGACTTATTTCAAGTTTAATGTTTAATGTTTCATACGTAACCGTGATATTTTACTAAACCTAACCAACCCCC